GTACTGATGCAGTCATTGTCAGTGTTTAAATAATTATTATGATAAGTGATAATTAGTTGCCCCTCTCATTATCAGTGTTTAAATAATTATTATGATAAGTGATAATTAGTTGCCCCTCTCGTAGGGCCAGGTCAAACAGAGGTCTTGTTTTAAATGTACAAATTTAAGAAAAATTAATTTTAAAAAAAGCTTTATTAAAATTCTATGATTTTTAGAAAAATATTTGTATCAAATGTAAATCAATCAGACACCATTAAAATGTACATTGAATATGGTGGAGAGTTAACTTTCAAAAGATTAATTTTGATTTGAATAATTTGCAGGTGGTTTCATCAGCTGAAGATAAGATGCAACAACTGTCTGTCCAGGTAAAACAATTAGTGTCTATTTTTAATTGGTACCATTCCCGTAGCTCACAGCAAATAATATGTGCTCCGAAACAAATATTTTATTTTTCTTATGGTTCCCACTTACTCTTGAAAGAATTTGCTTTTCTTTTATGGGATGAAACCAAGTGTGACAGTATGTGTTAGCTGTAAGAAGAAAGCATTTTTATTTAGCTTCTCAACTTGTTTAATGCAAATAGCTCTGTATAATGTTACCAAAAAAATAAACAACCTTACTACAATTCTCCTTTAATATATCATAATATATCAATTTCTGCATTTGTTCTAAATACTTGCCATGCCGGGCAACTTATTTATTTTGAAATAACCAATGGGTTTTGTCTTTTCTTTAGTCGGCCATGAGCCAGCAATCTTCATCTCTACCCTCGTCCCCGGTAACCTCTCGACATCATAACTCTCCTGCCGTAGGAAACAAGAATTTTCCTGCTCCACCAACTCGGCCGCCACCTCGTTTGCGGAGGGAATCAACCTCAAACCAGTCAAATGAGACATCATCTAAGAGCAGCAGGGAGCCAGCACCGGCCCACCATGAGTATGAAGATGTCATTCAATCTAATTACACTCACGGCAAAAATAATGTCTACTCTCTGGCTAAAGTATTTTCCTCACAAGTCACACCAAATGGTACACCTTTCTCAGCTGCTGGTGACAGGCCAAACCTTCACCAATCGCAACAACAAATAAAATGCCAGAGTGTTGGGCCATATTCAGTGACAGTGTTGCAGCAACATCCGCCTGGATCGGCAAAACTGCAGGGGGGGGGGGCCTCTCTCCCCTCCACCACCCATCCCAGAATCCTCGACCTCACAACACAAAAGGCATCTGCCAGATGTGACACCATACAAAGTTTCAAATTTAAATGTATCCACCACACGCTGGGCCCACAAGGACAGTTTTAAACACCACACAGCAGAATTTTTCAGCCATGTCAAAGCCAGTACAAACAGCCAGCAATCAGCCAGGTAAAAAACCAATGCGACCCCCACCTCCAAAATTGGAGAGCAAAGGTTAAGACCAGCTTATGCATAAATATTTTCAGTACTTGAACTTTTCTGACGTCGATTAATAATTCATTTTCAATGCTCCCATCAACCATTCCCTAATGTTAAGATTTTGCCAAGTTTTTTTTTCTTTCACAGTTAAATGTGTTCATTTCCCTTGTGCCTTATAGTTTACCTTAAAAGTACATCGACACAGAAAATTCAGTTCAATGTTACCATAAGTCCTTGTTGATCCCTTGGATCCTATCAGTATCAGCCACACGTTCAAACAGAAATTCAAAAATAGCTGTTTTATGTAAATGTTACTATAAGTCCTTGCCAGTCACTTGAATTAAATCATCCACACAGTCACACAGAAATTCAAACAAGCTGAACATGATAGTTGGTGAGTTTTCTCCTGAGAAGTGGGTGTACAGTATTTCATTCAAATTTTTACAACTTGTAAAGAATGCCCTTTACTTCTGTACTTTTTCAAATTTAAATCATGTAATTATTTTACCCAACATACCTTTTGAAAAATGTCATCAATTCGACTGAGTAAAAGTATTATTTTCTTCTGCTTTACTTCTGCAATATTCACAAATTAGGTGAACAGTCAATGCAAAACTCTAATATATATATATATATATATATTTATTTATGATTTTTTAAACAGAATTTAAATGGATATATTTATGTAAAAGAAGTACATATGATAATAAAACTAATGTTTGAATCTATGATAGTGGCGGCACAGCTGCATGTGGACAGAGTTTTTTTTATTATTTGTTCACTGTGGTATGATGGATTCTAATAAATATGGTCTTAATTTTAATTAACATAATTAATTGTGAGCTGTCCAACTGCCTGCTAGTGCCAAACTCACATAAAAAGATGTGTTGGGAAAACTGGACAAAATTTGTGTCCATGACTTCAGATGTGATCAATGATATTTGGCTGATCCATATTTTTCATTACTGATAGAATATAATTATGTAAACTTAAAGAGTATTTCTGAAATATGTATGAACATTATATATAATTTTCTGATTGAGACATTGCCTTTGCAAATTATACACAAAGAATGTTGACGATTGAATATTTCATGCCGACAGATTGCTATGATCAGCATCAATTCACATCAATAATTAATATTAAATTGAAAATCACACATATTATGAGTATGTCAATGTATGAATGTTTAAATTTTGAATAATTGAATTTTTGTATAAGTGAATTTTTGTATAATTGAATTTTCGTATGTTATACTTGAAGAAATGTCTGTCGTTTGTTTATTTGCCACTATAATTCTGTTATTGTTGACAGCACTCAGTAGTATGTTCCGGCCCATTCCAGTCATATAAGTGATATTTTTATGGACTCTTATAATTTTGTTATAGAAATCCTTTTCATTATTAATATTTTGTATTGCTGGACATCATTGTCAGTTTTTTACAGTTTTATTTATTGTTTGTTATATTGTATTTGATTTATACACTATAATTGTGCACCAAAAAGCTTTGTGTCTGCCAAAATCTCATTGTAAGACCTTGGAATAAATAGTNAACTGCCTGCTAGTGCCAAACTCACATAAAAAGATGTGTTGGGAAAACTGGACAAAATTTGTGTCCATGACTTCAGATGTGATCAATGATATTTGGCTGATCCATATTTTTCATTACTGATAGAATATAATTATGTAAACTTAAAGAGTATTTCTGAAATATGTATGAACATTATATATAATTTTCTGATTGAGACATTGCCTTTGCAAATTATACACAAAGAATGTTGACGATTGAATATTTCATGCCGACAGATTGCTATGATCAGCATCAATTCACATCAATAATTAATATTAAATTGAAAATCACACATATTATGAGTATGTCAATGTATGAATGTTTAAATTTTGAATAATTGAATTTTTGTATAAGTGAATTTTTGTATAATTGAATTTTCGTATGTTATACTTGAAGAAATGTCTGTCGTTTGTTTATTTGCCACTATAATTCTGTTATTGTTGACAGCACTCAGTAGTATGTTCCGGCCCATTCCAGTCATATAAGTGATATTTTTATGGAATCTTATAATTTTGTTATAGAAATCCTTTTCATTATTAATATTTTGTATTGCTGGACATAATTGTCAGTTTTGTACAGTTGGGCCCAGTTTTATTTATTGTTTGTTATATTGTAATTGATTTATACACTATAATTGTGCACCAAAAATCTTTGTGTCTGCCAAAATGCCTAAGATATCTGATCTCATTGTAAGACCTTGGAATAAATAGTGCGAATAAATAGTGCCTTTTTGCCTAAGATATATCCCTGTATACTTGGGGCTAGTAATCCTTGGGTCTAGTAATTATTGGGGCTAGTAATGCTTAGAGTTAGTAAGACTTAAGACCTTGTGCTAGTAAGCAAGAGCCTCTCGAGGAGAACAAAGAAGGCGATATACATCACTATTACAAGACCAGTTGTTATATACGCAAGTGAAACTTGGTCCCTTACCAGAAACACAGAAAATCTGCTCAACACATGGGAGAGGAAAATCTTCAGGAGACTATATGGTTCTGTGATAGACAATGATGGATGGAAAATCCGTACAAAACAAGAGATTTTGTCACTTGTTGTAAGACCCCACCCATAGTCACAATAATTTAAAAAAGCAGACTGAGCTGGACAGAACACCTTGAGAGGATTATGGATTGTAGTACAACAAAAGACATCTATAGACAGAATCCTAGGGGCAGACAGCTCACCGGTCATCGAAGACAGATGGATCGACGATGTAGAAAAGAACATAGACCAGCTTGGGATCCTTGTATGGAGCTGGAAAGCCATGGATTGATCCAAATGGACGGATGTGATTGAGCAGGCAAGGGACGTACATGGGCTGTAATGCCACTGATGATGTGAGCAGGCAAGGGACGTACATTGGCTGTAGTGCCACTGTTGATGATGTGAGGAGGCAAGGGACGTACATTGGCTGTAGTGCCACTGTTGATGATGTGAGCAGGCAAGGGACGTACATTGGCTGTAGTGCCACTGTTGATGATGTAAGACCTAGACCTAGGAAGGAGTAGTTTTAGTATAGTTTTATCACCGTCTGCCTGTCAACTTAAAGTATGAACTTGACATATGCTCACAACTACTTACCGTGACATATGTGCATTTCATAAAGTATTTTGCAACCTAGATGGGGGGGGGGGACTCTAAGAAAGTGTGACAAATTTGTGATTTGGGGGGGGGGGGTAAAGATCGTGAATAATGTTACAAATTGTATATTTTTNAAAGTATGAACTTGACATATGCTCACAACTCCTTACTGTGACATATGTGCCTTTCATAAAGTATTTTGCAATCTAGACGGGAGGGGGGGGGGACTCTAAGAAAGTGTGACAAATTTGTGATGGGGGGGGGGGTTAAAGATCGTTAGTAATGTTACAGATTTTATATTTTTTATCATAATATAAGACCTGAATTTGACAGTGACGTTGAACTTTCTGTTGTGGTAAATGTATTTTGACTGACAGAAGATTTCACTTTTATAAATTAATAGTATGTTAGTTTTATTAATAAATTTTAATTAGTTTTTAATTTTTGAGTTTGAAAGTGTGACATACATTAGGGTTTGGGGGTTGTCTGAGATTTGTGACGGGGTCGAGAGAGGGGGTGAAAATTATCCACAAAATCGCCTGACATACATGGATGTATTTTTATGCACACAACTTTTTATTGTTCACATATGCACACAACTCTTGACTGTTGACATACGCACACAACTTTTTATTGTTGATATACGCACACAACTTTTTACTGTCGACATACACTCACAACTTTTTATTGACATACGTACACAACTTTTTAATGTCGACATACGCACACAACTTTTTATTGACATACGCACACAACTTTTTACTGTTGACATACACTCACAACTTTTTACTGTTGACATACACACACAACTCTTTACTGTTGACAAATGCACCCAGCTCACAAAAGGTCTAGTTCATTGGGGTCAAAATAAAAAGTTGGATTTCCTTGTGGTGACATCCTGGTTTGTTTCTTTTATTATTGTCTCCATTTGGTTGTTTGGTTGTTTGCGGTCGCTCCCAGTATGGCAAGACACAAGATGACTGTGTTGACAGCAAGGTGACTGTGTTGACAGCAAGGTGACTGTTGTCTAGATGACTGTGTTGAAAGCAAGATGACTGTGTTGACAGGAAGATGTTGCAGTTTTATTTTAAATATGACCATAAAATGCATGTTAAATTATAGACAGGGAGTGTTAATATCGCGCAAGATTTCTATTAAATTTAAATGTTATGGTATTCAATATTGTTTTTAAAAAAATGCTATTTTAAACATAATATACTTATACCTGGACCATACTCACTGCACCATCATAGTCACCTTGCAATTCAACACTCGTTTCTCTGTACGTAATAGTGAATGAAGTATTCCTCTTAAAACCGAGCATGCATTGATGAGACATTAATTTCAAATTAAGTCATTTTGTGCTTTAAAAAAAAATTTCTCTGAAGAAAAAAGCACAAAAATAAAAATCGAGGCAAACCTGTAGGCCTAATTTACTACTGTGAATTAATGCATGGGCTTGAAATAGATTAAAACATAAATTATTTGTCTGTTCCATAAAATGCAGGCCCCACTTTGTGGCCATAATAAACAATAAATAATATTATTTATGCCTATACAATTTTAATTCTATGGTTTATTTTTTTTTACTCTAAATTTACAAGATACGAACATATTATTATTGTCTGAGCGGAAAACCTAAAATAAAGAATTGTACTTGTACAAATTTATTAGCTTATGGCTTCAGTTTTATATTTTTTAAAAAAATAATAAAGTACGTCACGCTCCAGTGGGGGGAGGGGGTGTAAGAAAGTGTGACAGTTTGTGACAGGGGAGGGGGGGGGTTCAGGCCATTTTTTTAAAAAATTTTATTTCTAATTTTTTAATATTTTTTTTTAGTAGAATTTAATAGCTTTAAAAATAATGTTCAAACATTTTGTGAAACATTTGAATTGGTTTTATGTCAAAACAGCATGAAATGCTTATCTCCTGAATGTGGTGTTGACGATTCCTCTCGCTAGCAGCGCTAGTAGGCTGTTGCAAAGCCTTGTTTTAGGTATAGTATAGCATTGCTTTCGTCATGCCAGAAGTAGTATTATTTCTATGTTGTCCGCTGCATAATTGTGTCACTGAGCGAGAAATTCGAAATTTAATTTTTACATATAATAATAATTATTATAATACAAAATTGTTAGGATTCATAGGTAATATTTATATAAACTCTCAAATTTGATTACATTATGCCGAGATCAACAGGAGTTTTCAAAGTACAACTATATGATCTTTATTGTCCATTTTTGCAGACCAGCTTACTTGATCGAATTTGCAAAGTATGTCACTTATACTTTGCCTCACAAACAGTGTTGAAGAAAAATGCAGGACAACACAGAGCTCGGGCTCGGGAGAATGTGCCAACCCAAACTGTTCCAGAATCAACTCAGATAAAACTCATCCGTCCTTTGAGAATCGCTGCTAGAAGGCAAAGAGAACTCATGGCAGTTATTGTCAGAAGAGAAAATGCACATTCAGAGGATGTTGAGTGGCTAGATGAGGATGAAGTTGATCTGTCTGCAATTATCCTTCCAGGAAACGATGTTGGTGAAAGATTGATGCCAGTCGTAACTATGGATGAACACTTCCCTTCACCATGGATGGATGGATGATGTCCAGTGAATATTTTTGAATTAAACAAAATTCACAGGCCCATAATAAACAGATTCAATATAGCACAAGAGTTTGTCACACAATTTGTCAATCTAGTCTTATTTAAGTCAAATTGTTTTGTTTCCTTTTTATTATTTAATCACTGGGTGAGGGCAAGTTTCACTAATCTACTTCTTATCCTGTGTAAAGAGATTGCATGATAGGAAGATCATCTAAAACTTGACTTCACCTGTTGTAAATGAAAAAGCAGCAGATAAATGGTGTATTATATAATTGTCTAGTCTAATTTTTGCAATTGTTGTTTTCAAATTCAATCTAGATTGAGTTACTGCCTCAATGAATAACTGAGACAACTGTTGACAATTAACTATTCTACTATTAAAGTCATTTTAATAATGTGATAGTTCTTTTAAGTGGAAATTTTATATTTTAATACAGTTTAATAGTGAAGTGTATTTTAGATTAAATTTTAATTAGGTGTTAATTTGTAAAAAAGATTGTTCAAAAGTGTGACGTACTTTAGGGGGGGGGGGCAAGATTTGTGACAGTTTGTGACCGGGGGGGGGGGGGTAAAATGGTAAAAAAATAGTGTGACGTAGTTTATGGACGGCCCCTTGACAGAAAGCAACAAAAGTTTTAAAGTAATGGTGGGGGGTGGGGGGGATGAAAACATGACAGCATGTTTCGTTTTGTACATACCTAAACATTAATTGATTACTGTCAGTGTCAGGAGGTTCTGCAGACTCCGAAACAGCCGAGTAAATCCATTAGGACCCTGTACGAATGCGGGCACCAAAGAGATCTAATATTATATATAAAAGTGACAATTTTGGGCGGGTTTTGTTTGTTCCACAAAGGCGTTTACATGGATTGATGGATCTTGACCAAACTTGGCCCCTATATCCATCAATATCCAAAAGGAACTCTTGGGGGGGGGGTGTTTATGAACATTTAATGACATTCCGTTTTAAAGCCGGGGGCCCCGTATTCGTTTTTTCCCCCATTATACTTATATGGGCTATGTAAATAAAAATAACAACAAATACTCCCACGTGAATAGATGGATCTTGAACAAAGTTAGTTAAACTAAAACTTAGCAGGCCTACACATACACTTGATTATCCATTTATTCCAAAAAATACCGAAGTGTAGGCTAGGTGTAATGAGCTCATAGTATGAGAGATGCCTGAAAGAAACACTGGTTGCAATGTGATCACAATGTCAGACAAATTTCTTCCAAAAAAAAAAAAAAAAAAAAATCGGGCTCATTTGTCGGCCTAATGTCGTTATACTAATGTTCCGATGTGATTGTAGCACACATTTCCATATGACGTTAAAACTCATGGGACGTAAGTAAGGAATTTTCTTTGCAGAATGTTTCCTTTTCATTTATATTCACTCAGAAAAAAAAAAAAAAAGTCATTGGGGATTTAATGAATTAACTTTTTAGTCTTAAAGTGTTTTGATTCTGATGTGATCCATGTTTAGGCATTATTTTTTATAAAGTATCTTCCTGTGTGGATGAGCCTAGGTATCAATTAATTATTTGCCGTGTCTTCGGATCAATTAGTTATCTCCCTTTTTCAATTCTTAGGACGAGTATTTCAATTACCATACTATGAGTGGTGGCGTGAATGAGCGTAATCTCTTGTCACTTGCTCTGTTGTCAACTTTGTGAGAACTACTACAAGACGTGTCAAACAATGTCTATGGTGATCCGTATATTTGGTGGACCAGTGACATGTGTGTGACACCAAGGAATATCAAAGCGTGAGTAAACCAGGGGATCTCACAGTGTGAAGAAACCAGGGAATTTCACAGCGTGAAGAAACCAGGGCATCTGACGGTATAAAGAAACCAGGGTATCGCACAATGTGAAGAAACCATGGGATCTCACCGTATAAATAAATTAGGGGTCTCATAGCGTGAAGAAACCAGGGGATCTCACAGCTTTACATGATGGTGGGGGAATTATCATTTTTACGCGCTCCATCATGCATTCCTACATATTCAGACAAAAATGTCACAAGAGGTAAAAATAAGAAAGAATCGAAGGTTTAAAAAAAAATGAATCATTTTCGTAAGAAGTGATTATTTAATACAAACCCATTCCCTTTGAAGATTCCCCCCCCCCCAACCCTTATTTTCCCAAATCTTAGAAAGTTGACATTCAGCACGCAACTTAATTTCGATCTATCGAATTCTGCACAGGTCACTCTCGCAGTTCATGTGTTTAATTGTATAAGGCACATTCTTCGGTCGACTAATTGACCCACTCTTCGTCATCTTACCTATCAAAATAAAACTTGACATAGACTTATTGTCGACGACAACACATTCTATCAAATTTTCAGCCCCAACCCCCAAAAATAAGTGTTTTTTAAAATGTTTTTCAATGATAAAATGAAAGAAATATGATGCTACTGATCACGAAATAAAATTCCCGATAGTTACGCTAATTGAGATTCTTTCATTCTTTCCCCCAATGTGAGATCTTTAATAACTTTAAGAATCTGTGATTTGCTTAATGTTCTTGTTAAATCATTGACTGGTTAAAATAACTGACTGATGGAATTAATGACATAATGAGTGCTCATTGTTTCATCACTAAGTATAATTCAAATCTTAAATGTTATTTTGCTCAATTAAATATCATGCGAATAAACTCGAGGTTTCCTAATGATAAAAAAAAACGTGTGCATACATTTTTTAAATGAGCTTGTTCAATTTCTTTTGGATTTTTTTCTCAAGTGCGTTTGGTACGAAATATTTGTATTTGTTTTTCTGAAACAGTTAATTTGGTGTATTGAATCAGAGCCGTTCTTAGGAGTTTGGGGGCTCTAAGCATGGAGCGTAGGTTGGGGGCCCCGGGAGGGGGGGGGTCCGGGGGTGGAGCGCCCTCGAGCTGAGGAGAAAACACCACCCACCACTGCGGCACCTCCATTCTGCCTGCATCAATGTTTCCTCTTTCCCATTCCCACGGCCAAGCCCCCGATTTCCTGTCTGCCCCCCCTCTTTCCCCAAAGCTCCCCCCCTGCTGCTTCCGTTCCCCTGCCTCCAAATTCAAGTCAGAATGATAAATTTCAGGATGAGGAAGGTAACGTGAGTGACACAGACGGCTGCAGTGCCAGTTAAAAAAAAACGGGGGATCGAGGGCGCCTCAGGGGGCCCCCTCACGTTCGGGGCCCTACGCGGATGCGTAGTCAGCGTATACCTCAGAACGGGCCTGATTAAATCTTCTGTGTAAAAGCGGGTGGGAAATAGAATATTAATATAAAATAATAAAAAAATGCATGTAAAAGATTTTTACGAAAAACTTTGTTATTAGGGTTTGTTTAATTTTAAGCTAAATACATTGTGTATTATATAATATAGGATTGCACTGAAATATGGTGAGAAAAAAAAAAAAAAGAGTTTTACAAGTCGACAAATTGTTACTATTTGCTTGGTAGCTAGCGAAACCTCAACTCTTTTGTAGACCGGATACAGTGTAGGCCCACATTGTTTTGCTTGTTAATTTCATATTCCCCAATACATTCAACATAGTTCGGCAACAAGATTAGCTAAATAAGCCCAGACAAAAAATCTGATCGCTTCTCGGCCCATTGGCTAAGATCAGGATGTAGTGTCTGTTCTTGCCCCTCCGGGTTACCAAACCTGGTGGAACGAACATGAATACCCTCTTGATTTTCAGCTTGGGTCG